CACTATGGAGCTCAAGCTGGCCTCGAACTTTAGGCAATCCTCCAGCCTGTCTCCCAAATGCTGGGATAACAGGTGTTCACCACCACAGTCACTACATCTGGCTCCTGGCTCCACTTTGAAAAGCTCTTTCAGTTTGTTTTCATGTTAATTTTCCTTTTCACAACAGTCAGGCTGTTCCTTGTTGCTGATACAACTACTCTTCTCACTGTCCCACTTCTTCACTTTCTGTCTTTTTTTTTTTTTTGGTACCCTGGATTGAACTTCGGACCTTGTGCTTGCAAGGCAGGCTCTGAAACCACTGAGCTAAATCCCCAGCCCACTTTCTGTCTTTGTTAAGTCTTCAGCTGGAAATTCTTTTCTACCACCAGACCTACCTACTTCACCTGCACCTACAGGCACCTTTCCCTCCAGGTACACTAGAAGAGGGGGTCCATGGAGGGGGGAGTGGGAGCAAATGGGAGATGTTAATCCCGTCTCCATTTTCCATTTGCCTTTCAGTTTGCTTTTACTTATTCATCTTCCTGTCTGGGCCTCTACCACTCATCAGCTATGTGACCTTAAACAGGGTATTAAAATAGCAAATACTTGAGTAGATCTTAAGCTGTGGCCATTAGAGGCACTGTGTTGAGGCTGGGGGTTGCCAGGGCTGGGAAACAACCAACTGAGTAGAGAGAATGGCATTGACAAGGCAGGAGGATGGAATCTGGAAGGAGCTGAGTGAGCAAGGTGGGTGGGAGGACGGAGATGCAGAACTCAGACAGTGGGGCTGGAGAGGCAGGGGCAGAAGCTGGAGCCAGCTGGGTTTGGCAGTCGAGGCAGGGTAATGATGATATAGAAGCAATGTAACTCTCAACCTGCTACATGTCTGATGTGCCGAGATTGTGTCCCCTGAATATTGAAGAATGAATTCCAAGGAAGGTTAAGAGTAGGAAAGATTTATTGAGAGATAGCTCCTGAGAAACAAGAGGGCTCTCAAATGTGGGTTGCTGCTGAGGCCCTTTGCTAGGGATAATTTATACAGCAAAGTCCCAGCATTGGTACAAAGTGGGTCCAAGTGCAATTAACCTATAGGATTACAAGTATAGCTGCTTAGCTAATATTGATCCTGCAGGGAAATGAGCCACATAGGGTATATGGAAAGAACAAAGGCATTTTAGAGATGGATCCAGATACTCTGGGCACCCACCTGAGTAACTGATGCCTATCTGGACTGACTGGACCAGGTGGTGATAATTTCTGTACAATATAATCTCAAGTTATTGTTTATCCTGTGAGGAGGCACTTAGGCCGGGCCATTGCATCTTTATCTTAAGGGCCTGGCATGAGATGTGCCTCAAGGAGTCACAATTCTGTCTTTATTCTGTGCTCACTTCTTGGAGAGCCCAGTCCTGCTCTGACTGTACAGTATATTAATTTCTGTCTAACTTAGCTGTCTATAATAATGATTTTGGTTTTCATTCTAAATCACCATGACAGGAACTGAATCAATCTCTCTCAGCCTCAGCTTCTACCTAAAAAAAAAAAAAATGTCTTAGAACTAGATATTTGGTTACCAGTCTCTCCTAGACAGGGCTGAGGTCAAGGGCTTGCATTTTTTTTTTAGGGCCAGGGATTTAGCTCAGTGGTTCTGCTGCCTGTCTTGCTTTTTTAAAAAAATTCTTTTATTGGTACATTTCAGGGATACAATACATTTACATTTATCATTGGGTGCTTGTACCTGTGCATGATGTATCTTAGTTCTTATTTTTTTCCCCATTACCTGTGCACCCTTCATCCCCTCCACCCTTCCCTATTTACATAGATTTCATTTCCATTTTTTTTTCTTTCACATAATTTTTCCTTTCCCTTCTTCCCTTTCCCCTTCCCCTTCCACCACCCCTACATCTTTGGACCTTTTCCTATTTCAAATTATCAATTATTCATTTTAATCATTTTAATCCTTATTTACACTTTCAGTTTCTCAAACTAGAGAAACTATTCGGTATTTACACGTGTGTCCTATTTATTTCACTTAAGAGTATGGCTTCAATATGCATCCATTTAGCTATAAATGTCTCTAGTTTCTCATTCTTTATGGCTGAGTAGTACTCCATTTTATAGACAAA